CCCCCCACTCTGTCCCCTCCGTTATGGCGGTGCTCCAGTCCCCATTGTGCCCCTCTGCCTCCAATTAATTTCTTTGCACAGCCAGAGCAGGCCTCACCCCAGTTCCCTCCAGCCCCTCAGTCCCCACTGTCATGGCGATGCTCCACTGTCTGTCCCTGTCTGTGTAGGCCACTCTGGTTGGCTGCCAAGATAGCCAATCAGAGCGTGAATAAAGCGTGGCTGGCAGGCTTAGGCTGTTATAAAACTAGAATTCTGGTGCCGTCTCCTCCAGCCACGCCAAGCTTGACTCCCTTTCTGCTGGTCCCTGTCCTGTTTCTATCTCAGTCCTAGCTGCTCACATTACTCTGTCACTCGCATCATTCTAACTTCAGCGAGCCAGCCCTAGACTCACCTTCCCCACAGTGCTCCGCTCTCAGCTGGCTTGCAGTCCTCCACTTCCCCTCACTTCAGTTTCCTGTCGCCGCCGAGAGCCGCGGCGCGGGGTTCAGGGCCTTAGGAGCCCTAGTCGGCAGGCGGGTACTTGTGACACTTGGAGTGGAATCAGGTACTCAAGCGTTTTGATTGAACAAAAGGTTGTTTACTTACACTGCTCGTACAGTGCAGGCCAGAAGCTTGCTTCGATTACGGTTGTAAACAAACTTGGGTCAGGCAGAAATTACAAAGTTCGTTTGGTCGGTCTGCAAATGTGTTCGGGGTGTTTGGGCCGGTAGTCGTCTTACGTCTCGGGTGGGGGTGTGCTAGGCCCCCTTGGGTCGGTGACGGGGAGTCCTTAGTGGTTGATCAGGCCGCTAAGTTCGCTCTGAAACGCGCGTGGAGTTTGCTAGGCTCCACAGTGTACTTAGAGGTCTCCACCAGGTGTGTGTGGAGTTCTCCAACTTGGGCGGAAACTGCTTCAACCTCTTATACGGCTAGCAAGCCAATCGCTGTCGCCACGTAGGAATAATTTAAAACTGGTCAATAATAATGTGAATTTGCATATGAGTGGCGGGAACTTTTTTCTAAACTGTAATTTTCCACTACTGTAGCATTTGGTTACTGGGTTCAGGCATAGCGGAATTTTCCTCCATGACCTAGTTACTGCCACCAGAATGATTGACAGCAAAACTATGCCATATGTATCGAACCCATGGAATTTTCCTCTGGGCTATGTCATTTCTCCTCTGGGCTATACCAGTTCTCCTCTGGGCTATACCAATTCTCTGTGCTATAGGCATCTAATTAATGGGTTCTGACATTTCCCACCCACAACTCGATCAGTTTTTATCTCGCCAAGCTTCTTTTCCTAAACCCAGCTGTTGTCCTTTTCCCCTTTCTCTTCCATGCTGCCTGGGTGCCAACAGGAGGCCACTGAGCACACAGCTAAGACAGGCTCCCTGCAGTTCCAGTAGCTTGGATCAACAGTTACAAGGAACCAGAGCGAGTTGTACCCATAGGCTCAAGCATGCTCAGTCTTTCAGTGGGAATGATGCCTTTGGAGACTGTCCAGCGTGCTGTGAAGGGATCTGCTACACTTAATGAGTTTGGCGAGTTTGGCTGCTGCCTTTTGAGACTTCTCTACTGAGCATTTACAAACTCCAGGTTTTCAACCTGTTGTAGTTTGGCCAAATTTGGGTGGATTTTTGCAGGGTAGTAAAAGCCCTGACAAAAGCCACCGCCTGCTCAATTTAAAGTCCATGTTTCAAAATGGGATGGGAGAGGGAAGAGAGGATGTTTGAATACCTTTAAACGGTCATAAATGTTTTTAAACATGGGTATATCAGTGTAAATTTCCTAGCCCTGTTTTTGGAAATTGCTGGGCTATTTAGAGTCAAAATTTCCAGAAAGGGTCCACTGGAAATAGGCACATATTGTGGAAAACTCCAGCTCAAGTGGCTTAAAGTTTGACAGAGTTATAAGCAATAATAAAAGCTAGTTATAAGTATGAGGCAACTTGAATGGGTGGTGCTACTATGATATGTAGGGTGCAGTATCGTGTTTGAATGCCCACTTAGAAATTTGTCCTTTACCCTTTTAAATTTTGTGACTACTTGAAAATGCACACTTCTGGGCCTTCTCAGAGCAAATACAGTATCCATTTATATCTCGTATATCTATTATTTGGGAGCTGTGTATGGAGATCGGGGAGAGAATGGAGACTTATTACAAAGCTATCTCTATTTCCTGTGTGTGGTTCTCAGCTGAATTTCCATATTATATTGTTATTAAGCGCTATCAAAACACTATCATAGTTCATACCTTGTGGAATCAAACTCGGTCTTGAAAGACCTGTATTGCTTATAAATGCAGCAGGGATACTTTTTCAGAATACACCCATCTTGTGCATCTGATGCAGTCTGGTCCCCAGTATTATTTTGCAAACTTATTACTTTCGTTGCACAGGCTGTTCCACAATGGAAGGGGGAGATGGCACTGCTGATCTTGTGATCAACAAGAGATTTGTGTCTGAATCGGAGCTAGACGAGCGGCGTAAAAGAAGACAGGAAGAATGGGAAAAGGTTCGGAAACCTGAGGATCCAGAAGGTACGAGGATAATAGCTTAGTAATTGCAGGAAAGAGATCTAAAGAATTATTTAGTTTTCTTCACAAAAAAAAAGGAGCCAACAGCTATGTCTGAGAACTTAGAAGAACCTTAAGTTATGGAGAAGATAAAGATCCATGTTTGCTTACTAAAAAACAGTTAAAAGTCTAATATACATTCTTGTCTCTTGTCCCAGAATGCCCAGAGGAGGCTTATGATCCACGTTCCCTATATGAAAGGCTGCAAGAACAGAGAGAAAAGAAGCAGCAGGAGTTTGAGGAACAGTTTAAATTCAGTAAGCACCAGCAAGTTGTTTTAAGCTTAAATCCAGAGAACTGCATGCTGACACTTAAACAGCTTTGTGATATACCTGGCTAGGTGGACATACTTTTCCCTCTTGGTTTGTTATATCACAGTTCTGAATAAAATCATAATCTTAGAGCAAGTAAATGGACTGTTCCAGCTGCACATGCTGAACTTGTTTGCAGCAAGATGGTACATTTTAATCGAAACACATGGTCCTGTGAAGTATAGAAATATTATCCTCATTTTACAGAGAGAGAAGCTGAAACTTAATTATGTCAGTTAGTTGCACAGCTAGAAATTGAACCCAGATCTGACTCCCAATCTGGTACTTTAAACAAAAGGCCATCTCTCCCCTACTTATTAGTGTGAATCACTAAGAATTATTTCTACCAGTTATCATCCTTCCTAGCCAGGACCAGTTGTATACAAACATTTCTCAATAGTTGTAGTGCTCTAACAAATGTTTTAAAAGCAGTCATGTGGAATGTGCTAGGTTCTTCATAAGGTAGATATTCCAGTTTCCATCAACTATTAAAATTGCTTTAGTTTTGAGAAAAAAATAAACATCAGGAGAATAATAGTTCTAGGGGCAATTGAAGCAGGGGGAGTTTGCCTAAAACTTTCACTTACTGTTATATCCATCCAAATAAGGTTTTTGTTTTTTCTGTTGTAACCTTACAAAGAAGTTTACTGCATTCTGTTCATCTGTGGACCTGATTCTAGAAATCAAGTGTTTGCATAGTAAATGCTTACAGCAGGGGCATCAAATCTAGCCTCATCATCCAGCCCCTAGTGCTGGCTCCACATAGAGCCAGTGCAGGACCACCCTCTCATGTCAGATCCAGTGTCTGCTCCAGCTGGTCCAGGACTGCACTACATTGCTGCCTGCTCTGACCATTCTGGGATATGAGCTGCATGCGGCACCCACACTGGCCATGGACAGCACAGGTTCCAGAGCAGGCATTGCGTGTGACAGAGTGGGTGTTGTACCCACTATTTAGGGTGGAGGGTGTGTCCCTGCCCATGCCAGATGCCTATGGGCTTGAGGGTGGAGGGTGTGTCCCTGCCCATGCCAAATGTGACACCTACCCCAGCTGGTCTGGGACCCATGCTGCATGTGGTGTGTGCCCCCGAGCAGGTACCTTGTGTAGCTCACATCCCGATCCAGCCAGTGTGCGCCATGGTGCAATCCTGGACTGGCTGGTGCAAGCACCATGGGCACTGGATCCAACACAGTGGGGGTGGCGGGGAGGGTCCATGGGGCTGGCCCCACACAACTGATTCAACCTGTAGACTGGTCTGGAGCTGCTCACCTGGCCCATGAGACCAGATGATTTTGACACCCCTGGCTTACAGGTTTTCTCATAGTTGGAATGCTTTTTGGGAAGGAGGTGAGGAGGGGTTACTCAACTGAAGATCAGTTTTGGGCTCCAAGATGTTTACTTTATCAGTTGATTAAAATTATTGATTTTCTGAAACCGTGGCTAACAAGCAGGATGCTGCAATATCCCCTCTCCTGCCTCACTGGAGTTCTCTGACCCCTAAAGCAGGCAGGAGAGCTGGCTCATGGCATAGCCCTTTTCAGTCTGAAACATCTCTGTCTCTCTCTTTAAATACAGAACACTTGTCAAATGAAAACTGAACTGTTGCAGATAAGAGAAATGGAAAAAAAAAGCTTTTGGATCTGTCCAATTCTCTCATTTTTAGCAGTTTATTTTATAAACTGAACAGAACAAACTTTATTAATAAAGGCATATTTGTTTCCTAAAACACTGCATACGCATATACATCAAATGGTAGACAGCTGAAGATATTACTGTAAGGCTTTATATAACAGAGAAAAGAGCAGAATTGTTCAGAAGACCTTACTGTCACAGATTGCTTAATCTGTTGGAGTTTGTCTTCATTGCAGCAGGATTAACCTTTGAAAAATGCAAATCCACTACTGCTGTCCACAGCTTTCTATGAAGATACTTTACAGATCTTTCAACTGTTATTGTGCTCTTCTAAATTTTCTCTCTGAACAGGTATTGTACTTGGGGTGTCTGTAGATAAATGGAAGTTCTCAGTTCTGTGGTCTTGTATGTATTAAATGCTTGTGAAAGATGTTTATTACATGGAACGATAGTGAACTCTGCTAGCCTAGAAGGAATCTTCTTATAGAAATATGAGGACTGCAGCAATGCATGCCTCATACCACTGCCAGGAAAATCACCTCCCCAACTGCTGAGATCTCCTCTAGAATTGAGAGCTTCTCTTTGGTTTCCTTGCCTTTTGAGTCTGGGCCACCTCAGATGCCACTGCCCCCAAGTGTACCAGTTGTGAGAGTTCCACTAGGAACTGACTGAGAATCCATTTGTTTTATATTGACCACTAAATCCACCATCAGACAGCCACAGGGAGCTTTTCCCCTCTGGATCACTAAGACAGAATTCTGTTGTTGCTGAATTACGTGGGATTTGTTGGTCTAGGGCAGGGGCGGGCGATTATTTTGGGTGGAGGGCTGCTTACCCAGTTTTGGCAGGCTGTCGAAGATCGCATGGGTAGCCCCACCCCTTGACAGGTGCCTCGCCCCCTGGTCACCATCTTGGGACCAGCGTCCCAATGTCTTGGGACCAATGTCCCAGGGCCAGCACTGGTGGGGCCCAGAGTGGGGCACAGGCCAGCAGGGGTCTGTGGAGGCAGGCTGGGCTGCACCAGCAGGGAGAGGGGGGAGCTGGCCCGGCTCCATAGAGCCTGTCAGCTGGGACCCCGCGCTCCTGCCACCCTGCTCTGGACCCCACTGGTGCTGACCCTGGGACACCGGTGTGGGCCCTGTGCTCCCACTGGCTCCCCACCCATTCACATCCAGTGCCCCTCAGCCCCATGGTACAGGCCAGGGGCAGCATTCAGCCCCAACCCCCTGCTCACCAGCAGGGAGCTGGTGCTGAGTGTGGGGAAAAGGGGCCCCTCGCCTGCCCCATAGTCAGCGCCCCGCGCTGCAGGCGGTTACAGCCCGTGCGGGGCTGTCTGGAGCAGGCACAGGCAGCCCCCTGCGGACTGCAGGGGGCTGCAGCATGGGGCACTGGCCATGAGGCAGGCAAGGGGCTGCTTTTCCCCACACTCAGCACCAGCCTGCAACCCGCCCCACTCCCAG